GTGGCTCGCTATGGACGATCGCCTCTAGCTCGCCATGGACTCGCTATACCACACCCTCACATTCATTACAACCATCGCCAAAGATGGGTCGCTACACCCTCAACGAGATGAGAGAGAAAGCAAGAAAAAGTTGTGATTTGTGGTTGGGCTTTTGTACAAAAATCAAATAATCCTAGATCAAAATAATAAGAAAGATGATGAACTTGTGGGTGATCTTGAGCCTTCAATGGACCATAGTTGAAGTTTCAATTTTTTGCTGCTAATTTGTTAATTTTAACCAGAAAAATTGGGGAAGAAGCTTAACAGACAATTAAGAGGAAGATGAACAAGTTACACATCTTGCCCTTAAAGATTCAGCAACTTAGTATATTTTATCCAAAAATAAAAACCTTTTTATTTAATATTAATTTTTTGTATTGTATAAAAATATAATCTATTTTATATGAAATATATGTGTATTAAAAAAATATAATGTATTTAATTTTGATAAAAAAAATCAAGAAGTGTTAGAGGTGTTCAAAAAATATGATATGAAGGTTCTAAAAGTGTTACGGTAAGTGTAAATCATTAATTTGTAGTTTTGGTGAGGCCTCTTGTCTACATTCACTTCACCATACTAGTGTTATCCGTGTTTAATTCTACACGAGGTAAATATGATAATTTTTTTTTTTTTTTAATATTAGTAGTTGGATTACTTTAGCGGCTTCTATAAAATTAGAACCTATTGTAATTTTTTTGTTGTAAAACTAGTTAGAAAAAACAATAATGGTTTTAATGGAAATTGTCTTTTCATACAAAAAAAATTAACCTAAGTCAATTGTTAACCTATAAAAAGTTGTAATAAAAATAAAAATGAAAAAATATTAGCTATTTTTATTTTTAATCCAAAACAAAAAAATATTTTCTTTTCTATCCAAAAAGAATAACGTATTTTTATTTGTAGTCCCAAACAACTTACTTATACATTTAACAAAAATATGAACCTACTTTTATTTTTAACCTAAAATGCACTTATTTTTTTAAAACCAAAACAGTAGGCAACTTTATCTTTTAACACAAAACAACAACATAATCTAACGTCAAAAAAAAAAAAAAAAAAAAAAAAAAAAAAAAAAAAAAAAAAAAACAAATGGGTTGAGGTCTTGAAGAACTTTATTTAAACAACCAAGTTGAGGTATGATTTTTACGATTTGCTAAATGAGTTGGTAACTGAGTTTCATATGAACCATATGGGTTGTTGTGATTTGGTATCACATTTTGAAGATATGGTCAATATAACATATGTTTAAATCCTAACACCAAACAGTTATTGTAGCCATGAAGGTTTGCCTACATTGACTCCAGGGCATAAAACAAACCATCATTTTTGCAGCAGGAGATTAGTCGGTGTACAAAAGTTGGCCCGAAAACCTTCGTTAGGAAAATTCTTTTTTCAGAAAAAAAACTGAGTTTCATCTGTTAACAACATTTTATTTTAGTATGGTAAATTAGTTTCATCAAAAAATATCACAAGCCATACTAGCAAGATACTCTTACAATTCACATTTGTAATCAATGTTCCATTTTTTTGGTTAGCATTCATAAAATTGATAGTTTTTTACGGTTATTTCAATATGATTTTGGTCTAAGTTTCAATCACAGTTTGGTTTCAAAATCTTAACAAGTTATATGTAAGTTGGAGGAGAATTCAACTTATACTAATATGGTAAGCTACACTAAAAAAAGACATCTTTACCCCTTGTGTTGTAGGAAAATCATACTTTTCTTTAAAGTTGATAAATTTACACTTAGTTTGGACCTTCTATGATCCTCTATTTGATTTGTAATTTCTCATATCAACTTTTGATGATTGTTGTCACTTTACTTGCTCTTAATCTATCATGTTGTTCATGTTGCTGTACAAGATTTCATTGTTATTAATTGCTTGGTGGGTGTTAGTTTTTTGTCGGGGTTTCAAGGTCTAAAAAAATCAATAAATGGCTTTAGTTATTTGAATTATATGTTTTCAATGATTGATATGGGCAATGCTAGCTGTAGAACTCGTTAGTCGGTACCTGTTCGACTGACTATCAAGTAGCAAGTTCTTGGGAGATTTGGATTCGGTATTCATGTACAAATATTTTTTTAAGGAAATTATATATATCAAATTAATAATTTAAAATCATAATTTGATTGAAATATATAACAAAATTAGATAGATATGAGTATACAAAAACAGAAAACACATAATTATTTTACTTCGTAAATAATTACTAAAAACATAAGATATATATACGTAGTAATAATTACATGTGTATATGTGTGTGTTAAATAACAAATCATTTAGTATATTATACATATTAATTACCGAGTTGGCCGAGTTTTACAACACTATTTGTTTCAGTAAGGAGCCAATCAGGGAGTACACGGCTTCTGTAACTCATCTCGGTAAGAGGCCGGGTAGGGAGTACTCGGCCGAGTAATCGGCCAACTCAGCAAGTTTTACAACACTAGATTTTGGTGATGCACATATTTGTTGTCGATGTTTAATATGAAATCTATCAAATTAATTTTCTTTTTTACACGACTGATTTAAATATAATTGTTTGCTTTTTTAGATGTTTGTATTTAAATATAAATGTTTGTTTTTTATTTTGAAAATCCTAAAATGTTGTACAAATCTAAATTTTTAAGAATTTATTTTTATGAGCTTATGGTTAATATTGTATTTTATTTTATTTTATATTTATGTTTACCAAGTCTATCATTTCTATGTATGTTATATATATGCGTGTAAAAGTTAGATTAAGTGAAAGTGGATATGTCAATAGTTGGATGATGTGTTTCTTTATATTGATTTTTTTAATGATACACAACTATCCAGCCTTATGAGGTCAATCGATGAATTTTGCGTGTAATTCATTGATTTTTTTATTATCATTTTATATTTTCAATATGTAATTTTAAATTCTGGATTTCACTAATTAATTATAACCTGGTGTGTTTTGATAAAAGAGTGACACACCAAGCATAAATTGTATGTCGTTCCAAAATTTACCATCTAATTTTTGTCCATAATATCTCAAGTACTTTCTTTAGAATGACTGCCGACAACACAAAAAACAAAAAGATGCGAAATTATTAATTAATCTTACGGAAAAAAAATTAAAAAAGCTTCATAGGAATTAGAATACCAGATAATTCAAGGATGCTATAAAAATATAATGCGATCCATCTGTCTCTCATCAGCATGTTTTACAATCTAAGAAATAAGGAAATTAATTTTCCTTTAGGCCATGTTACGTACCATGTACAACTTATGCGCTAATTAATATTCAAGAAAATTTTAAATTAATTAATGTGAAGAAATGTAAAAGGCAAAGGCATATAAAAAAAGGTGGTAAAAAAGTTGCATAAAGATCAGAAAAAAAAAAAGTTTTATATTACCCACAAAGGGGTTTAAAAAGTGAGTACCTTTTGTTTTAAAAGGGCTGTCCACTTTCTACATTTTATTAACATTTTTTAGTTAGTTAATTAAATCCTAATTAAACCAGGTAATATAATATTTTACTCACAAATGGTCATGGAGGATCTTTCGTCCTGCTTTTAAGAGAAAATTAGATTCCATATCTCCATTCACTCCTAATTTTAACATGCCAGTCATAACTCTCTTTCAATGCCTCCTTTTAAAAAAAAATTAATGCAAGAATTTTTTTATTTATAATAATGACTTTAACCACTTGCTAACGATCATTAATGTAAAGGTTTGTTTTAAGTTTGAAGTTTACTCGACGAACTAGATAAATCATGCAATTCGTCATTTATATCCATAATACCAAAAATCAAAGACCCTCTAAAGCTTAGCGACTTCCAACCCATTAGCTTAATCTGGTGCTTATATAAAATCATCGCAAAAATTCTAGCCTTGAGAATTAAAAAAGTTATGGGTAATTGCATCGACGAAGTTTAATCCGCATATGTGGAAGGAAGAAACATTTTGGATGGACCTCTTGTGGTAAATGAAATATGCGCATGGGCAAAGAAATCCAAAATGAAAGTGTTGATTTTCAAGGTTGATTTCGACAAAGCATTCGACTCTATTAACTGGGAATTTCTAAATTCTAATCTCATGCAAATGAGTTTTGGAAATAAATGGAGAATGTGGATCAAAGGGTGCCTTCAATCTTCACATACTTCGGTCTTGGTAAACGGTACTCCAACATATGAATTCACCACATCTAAAGGAGTCAGGCAGGGAGACCCCCTCTCCCCGTTTCTCTTTATAATTGATATGGAAGGATTTAGTGTCGCCATGAGAGCTGCATGCGAAACTGGAGTATTCCAAGGCTTACAACTTCCCCATGGCGGTCCCTTAATCTCCTATTTATTATATGCTGATGACGTACTGTTTGTAGGTGAATGGTCAAAGCACAACATCAAAAACCTATCTAGGATCCTTCGATGATTCCATGTGGCCTCGGGTTTAAAAGTAAACTATAATAAATGAAAGGTGTTCGGTGTGGGAGCACTACTAGAAAAACAACCTTTTACGACGCGCAATTTATGATACGCATTGATTCACGATACGCAAACGAGTGTGATCTAAAAATAATGTCATCTCTCTATAAATTTTAAGGATTTAGGGCGCGCATTTTTGCATACCCTTAAATTAGTGTCTAAAAAAAACACGGAGGGCGCTATAATACAACGTGTGCCGTCTGAGGATGTCGCTTTATAAATTTTAATGGAAACGCACCTTCCATCCTTTAGTAGCTGAGGGGGAAAATGAAATCCTAAAAAATTAAAATCCCCGCCTTCCTTTTTGTTCCTTTCCCTCTTGCCCTAATTATCACGCTCCTTCCTTCCCCCTGCCGACATTGACTGCCACCTACTTCTTCCCTCACACTTCGACCATCGTTACTTGCCATTCCCGATCGTCGACGTCGATCAAGGAAAGCACGCCACCAGCCGAAAACCTTCAATCTCTCCTTCTCATTTTCTTTGTAAACCCTAATCTGTATATGGTTTCTAGTTGTTTCCCCAAAGGAAACATATTTGATCCAATCGTTTCCCAAGAGGAAACAGATTTGAACCCTCTTGAAGGAAGATCCAGGCCCATTTATATGATTGAATCCGCTTCGTATGTGTTCGATCCAGAGATTTTAGGGTTCTTTGAGGCGACCTCAACCCAGCAGCTCGTATCGGGAGAAGGTATTGCTGGTAAAGCGTTGGGTACAAACCAGCAGCTCGCAGGTTGTCCATCATCAGCCACACACCGTGTTTTATAGGCCACAAAGACTTGGAGTAGATGAAATTGAAATCGAAATTGGTATTATCTAGCTGAATCGATATCGATTTGACTCCAAATTGCAGTCAATCGAAGGATTATTTGGTAAGGTGCACTCCTCTGTATTGTAAAAATTTCTCTTCTTTCTCCTTTATTCATGCCTCTGATTTCGATTTTGATTCTTCTTGTATTCTCCTCTGTAAAACCCTAACTGGAAAAGCGATATCTAGATTTCCCATTCTTTCTCGTTCCTATATCCCTTTGGCACTTACCGATTCTTCTCCCTTCCTCGAGACAAATGTTGGTCACCTAAACTCAAATCCTCTAAGGATACCTGCTCTGATTCATTCCCAAAAATCAAAAAATCTCGTTGTCTATCCCACAGTTTATCAATTCAGAATTTTGGGAGACAGAATCGTGCCTCATTTGTGGTTCGTGGCCTACACTACTGCTTCACCGCCCTGCTCCACTCTTATTTTCCCTAGCTTGTCCGTCCTCTACCACCTCCTTCATATGGTTATGTTTATGAATGTATGTTATTCTTTATTCAACACATTCTATGGCAGTTAAATGCAATTTTAACCTATATAGTTTTGAAGGAATACAATTTTAGAGGTTATTGAAATATTTACGTTTTTTTGTAAAATTTTACATTTTCTGATAAGGATTTTTATGTGGGTTTGATTTCTTGAAGGTTTTCATGGTTCCATGGCTCCCATTATTTATGTTATTCGATCATTACAACTTGTTTAAAAAGATCAAGATTATAACAGATGCTATTTCTTTTTGACTTAAGGGCTGTTTCTTTTGGGACTGTTTACAAGGGCTATATTGATGAGAATGTTCGGGTTGGTCTCAAATCTCTTCCTGTTGCTGTTAAGGTTCTCAACAAGGAGGGTCTTCAAGGCCACAAATAATGGCTTGTAAGCTCCTCTAGTTCTCTGTCAATGCAGCAACTAATTTTTTGTTTTGTTTTATCTTCCTTATACCATTAATCCATATCTGTAATGACGTTTTGTGTTGTAGATTGGAGTTAATTTCCTTGTTCAGCTCAGACATCCCAATTTGGTGAAATTGATTGGGTATTGCTGTGAAGATGACCACATATTGCTTGTTAATGAGTTCATGTTTCGAGGAAGCCTTGAAAATCACCTCTTTCGAAGTATGCAGCTTCGTACCATATATATATATATATATATATATATATATATATATATATATATATATATATATATATATATATATATATCTTTTTTTTCTTTATGTCAAACGTCTCAAACCCCCTTTTTCCTAACTTCAATACTCTACATAACAAATAGTATATGACATCTTCAGCCATGATAGCTGTAATACCAGCTGGTGTATATGAGATAAAATAGTGTTCTTGTGTTTTCATTTTCTATTTTTTGTTGTTTTTCATCATCTTGGTCTTTGTGTGTGTGTATTTACGTTGAGGAGATTGATGATATTGAAGGAAGTTTGGCAACTTCATTTCTAAGTAAATTACATTTAATATACACTAACTCCACACAAGTATAAACTGCTATTGCTGTAGTGACAGAGAGAAAACTGTATAAATCTGAAGATCATAAGAAGAACATCAGAAAGGTATGTGAGGCTTACAAGACTTTTTTGGTGCTATTAATTATTTTCAACTCTGATATCTATATTCGATCATCTAAAATGTTAAGACTATGTTTAATGTGAGTTGCTACCTGTATATGCACTATATGCTCACCCTAATACATTGGCTTTTTTTAAATTTAACATTTTGTGCTATTGATTATTAACTTTCATCTTTTTGTCAATTTTGTGCTCGTTAAAGCGATTTGTTCTTAATGATTTCTGGATTAATTGAGGTTAGTGGTAATAAGTGATTTTTTCTTAATGATTTTTGGATTAATTCAGATTATAACAATACCTTAATGATAATAAAATTCTATGATATTTACGTTGTCTTGTTGATTTAATTTACTATTGGAACTAATCAAAGTATTTTTGCATGTGTTTTGCAACAATGAAGTCAGAAGAAAAGTCTAAGATCACCAATACAATGAACTCGTGAGTGTCGCATGTAAGAAACACTATTTATTTTTTATTTATTTCTTACAATAATAATTAATCTCATCTCTTTACAGGTGGATAAACATTGATCAATTATGTCTCATCTCTTTATAGGTGGCCCATTTTCTTTTACTTACAAAGCTTTCTAAGACTAATCCATATGACAAGGGCAATTATGTCCTCTGTACATACAAAAGATCAAAGTTTTGGTGTGATTCAAGTGTTTTTGGGGTTACAGGTGCATGAGATGCTATGACAGATGAACCCCACATTGGTGAGTTATTGTGAAAAAAATAGCTGAAAAAGGGGGTCCACTCACTCTGCCTGAAGAAATTGGTGGATCTATTCATGTTGCTCAGATAGAAACAACGACCATGACAAGTGCAAGTGCTCGTCTAAGGAATGTCCATACTTGTAATTTTTCCTTAAAATATATATATATATATATATATATATATATATATATATATATATATATATATATATATATTATCTTTCCTTAAAAAAATAAAAAAAACACTGTGATGCGTTAAAAAAAATATCTTCTGTAATCCTTGACACTTAAGAACCTATATATGTATTACTTCCATACTTGTAATTTTTTTTTCAATGACTTCTTTCTCTTTTGTATCAGGTAATGAGTGAAAAAACTTGCAAGATGAAAACACAGAACCTGCACCTATGCTTATATCATTAGTGTTACAGAACTATAGGGGACACGTGGACCATTGGGTTGAGTCATATCAGGTATATGCAATCCTACACCTATGCTTATATCATTAGTCTTTTTTTGCTTTTTGTCAAGGGGGTGACTCTAATCAGGTGTAATTCCATTCAAGGAAGCTCAAATATCTTTAAAAATATGAATGAAAAAGATATCGTTTCATGGAACACCAAGATTTCGTCCTTTGTCTAGAATGGAATGGATGATGAAGCGTTAGAACTTGTTTGTGTTTTTCTCAAAGTTGCTACCTTGTTTCTATTTTCTTACTTTGTATATGTTCTTATAGGTACCTGTTCCTGCACTAAAGGAACATATTGCTTCTATTACTGTTGTATTGTCTGAACAACAACGTTTAATCTATCGTGGCAAAGTTCTAAAAGATGATCAACTCCTTTCAGCTTATCGTATCCTTTTCCACATCTTACATTTGGTGATGCCTAGTGGTGATCTATCAGAAAAGCTAAAGAATTTGTGCTCTTTTTGTTCTTGTTATTGTTAGAAGATTCGATTATGAATAGATTCAACAAATGAGTCACTATCAACTAAGTGTACCAGTTTTGCAAAATGTGAAGGAGTGATCTACACTTTCTATACAACAGGATTGCAATCCAAGTATCCAAAAGTGTGTTATTCATTCAAACCCAAAATAATCACAAGATTTATAAAACTTTATAAAGCCATAAGTAAATTACCTAACTCTGATTCCATTTGTGTCATTTCCAGTTTTACATGGTAAAGTGGTGCATAAAGTGGGTGTTGTATCTATAGGTGTTGGAGGCTTAAAGCTTACTAAATACCTTAAAGAGCAACTTCGTCTAAGAGATCTACATGTTTCTTCATTATACACTATTCGCTCATTGAAAGAGGTAATCTTTTATCCACTTTAATATCTATAAACTTATGCCCTTGAATTATTTTTATATAATTTCCAATTTTACCTTTTTGGTCTCAGAAATACAACGGGTCTACAGCAGGCAGTGGCAGATTGCACTAAGCGTTGCTATGTTGCCAAAATGAGAACCGATCATACTTGGTTTAGGACAGTTGTGTTGGCTGGAGGCACTGCATGTTTACCAGGGTTACCAGGTATAAATTAATTTATAAATATAAATGTTTTTAATTTTTAATATAATATTAATTTATAAATGCTTCATGTTTTAATTAATTGTAGAAAGATTAGAAAAGGAAGTACATTATCTTCTACCTCCCTCTAGGATGTCAGATATAAATGATATTATTTATCTTTTCTTCTTTTTTTTTTAACTAAAAGTACACTAAACATTAATGTGTTAGTTGTTTGTACTTTGTTAGTATCATTCATATAATGAGCCTCACAACACTTTTGAGAAAGTCTGAGATATTGGAAGGGCTATTGCTTATGACCTGTTTCTAAAGGTAACTTGTTGCTCTTAACACATTCTAATAAATATATATTAGGCTGTTTTTGGGGGTTATTTCTTTTCTTATGCTATCATGCTTATTGGCTGCCTATTGTGATGAATAGGGTGAAACCGAACTTGGCTGCCTTTTATGCATTCAATATGTTCTTGTTATATATATAAACATTAAATATTTGTTGTTTTTTCAAGTTTTTGGCAGATATACAAGTTGATGACGAGAACATTGTTCCAAGACCTTCAGTGAGTTATGATGATGTCCCTTAATAGCAATGCAATATTAGGTTATATAATTAGGGATGATTATTTGTATTTGACATGCTAGTCCAATGAATTATCTTTCTTATTTATTATATTTTATTTTTTATTTTGTATGACATTAACTTTTGTGCAATGGATTGTATTTTTTGTAAATGGTATTTTATTTTCTATTATGATACATGAAATGAAAATTTAATTTGAAAATTAGTAAATCTATAAATTATGATATTTTTTTTAAACATTTAGAATTATGATACGCAAAAATGTGTGTCATCTTCATTTATGACATGGCCTTTCTTGACAATGGCTTTCTTGATACGCATTGCGTGTCATTAACACGCGCGTCATAAGGTTACGACACACGAATGCATGTCGTCTTCCTTTATGACATGGCCTTCCTTGATACGCAATGCGTGTCGTAAAAGCGCGTCGTAATTACGCGTTGTAAATGAGCGTCGTAAATGCGCGTCGTCTCTCTTTATGACAGGGCCTTCCTTGACGCGCATTTGCGCGTCGTCTGAGCCTTTTACGACGCGCAATGAGCGTCGTAAAAGGTTGTTTTTCTAGTAGTGGAGCATGCACGCAGGAGGTGTCTCGTTGAGCTCATCCATTAGGTTGTGAACCTTCTTCTCTGCCATTAAGGTATCTTGGGATCCCAGTGGGTGCTAACATGAAGCTCACTAAGCATTGGAAACCCATACTTGATAGATTTCAAAGCAAGCTATCATTATGGAAATCGAAAGCTCTCTCATTCGGGGGCGACTAACACTCATTAAATTTGTGTTAGGAAACCCCCCAACTTACTTCATCTCACTCTTCGTCGCACCTACTAGAGTTGTTGAGGAATTAGAGAAAATAAGAATGGAGGTTCCTATGGGGAGGATTGTAAACAGAAGGGTTATCTGAATAGTTTAAAATAGTGTAGATTAGATCAACTGTATTTATCTAATAGCTTATCTAATAGCTGTTGTGTTTATCAAGATCCGATTGTTATGGATCTAGTATTGTAATTGTTATCTATATAATGACACACAACTCCTACGGGAGATTCAAGCCAATAATTCTTGTTTTCAACTTGGTATCAGAGCGTAAGATCCAAAGGGCTCACTTGCTAAAACTGCCTCAACTGTCACAACCCTTCAAATTCCCATGGCTACAACACTCATCAATTACTCCAAAATTGTGCAACGACCCAAAATTTTTCGTTTAAATAATACTAAGGTTATCAACGATCTATAATATATCATAAAATTGTACGTCATAAATTCCAAAAAGTTATAATAGAGGTGTTATAACAAACGAACTGTAACAACATATCATAGTATATGAAATAAACTCCCATGACAAAAGGTGAAGCTGTGGTGTGTGCAATGCCATCATCCCGAGCCCTTCCCTTTTCTTGCGGAAGTATCTAATACCAAAATTGAATCTGTAAGCACAAAACTTAGTGAGCTCCCCTAGACTACCACATACCATACAAACTTATAAACACATAGTAGGTCTTGCCCACTGCATCAGACCGAAGTCTGGAAACTGCATCGGACCGAAGTCCGGAACTAACCAGGGCCTTGCCCTCTGCATTGGACCGAAGTCCGGAACTAATTGCATCGGATCGAAATCCGGAACTGACTAGGACCTTGTCCCCTGCATCGGACCGAATTCCGGAAACTGACTGAGCCTAACATAGCATAGCATAAACATATCAACTAGCATAAGCACATATACTGCATACTGCATCGGACCGATGTCCGGAACACCTAACACAAAGACATGCTTGAATCACAAATACATCAAGCACACTGAACTACTGCAATGGACCAAAGTCCGGAGTTACTGCTAACTAGACGGGCCAGCATTATGGCCGTAGACCCGTTCCTACTAGAAGGAAAACTCACCTCGTAGTGCTGGCTGCTGAGATGCTAACTCTAAAAGTGGCTGACCACTGCTCCGGAACTGTCCTGCTACAATTTCCAAAAACACTAGATTAGTTACTGGCAAATGCTCTCGGGGTCAAATGACTATTTTACCCCTAGTCAAAGTCAACTCCCTAGTCAAAGTCAGCTTCCATTTGACCGGACTCGCCGAGTCAGGGTGCAGACTCGAAGAGTCCCTCCTTTACTAACTCTGACTTTAACGCACCGAGCCCCTTTCCCACTCATTGATTCACTATGAGCTCACAAATCGAAGGGAAAAAGGGGACTCGCGACTCGACTCGTCGAGTTCGAAGAACAACTCGTCGAGTCCTAATGCAGATTTCATACAATCGAATTCTAATCCATTACAGGGCCTTCAACTAGTAAATATGAGTCCTTGGGATCATCTGGACACGTAAAGTTGCTGACTTTACGTGTAACTACGAACGAATGAAGCCATTTCACTCAAACACTACTTTTCTCAGGAAAAACTCATCCGACTCGCCGAGTTGTAGAACAACTTGTCGAGTCTAAGGCAAACTTCATCGGACTCGCCGAGTTGCTCATCCAACTCGTCGAGTCCAAGGCTATCTTCATATGACTCGTCGAGTCAAGTTTGTGACTCGCTGAGTTCATTCAGTCCCTTTTCCATATAGGCCTGCTTTGAGCCATGCAGAGGCTCTAAGTCACAGATCCATGCTTTTAGGGCATGCTTATCATGTAAAGTTGCAAACTTTACATGCATGCACGGCTTTAAAGGCTTCAAATTCCAAAACTAAGCTCTCAATTGGGTTCTAAGCTCAAGAAGGACCTCAATCACGACCAAAGCTGAAACTTTACACTACTAGAATGCAATGAGTGTCCAAATCTGAAGTATGACCCAAACATAAGGCTTAATCAAAAAGGATTTGGGGTTTTTGGGGTTTAAAGCAAAAATTTGGAGACAACCAATATCTACTAGATCAATAAAAAAGATGGAGGCTTTATTACTAGAAAAGATGACCACAACTGAGTGTGCTCTGGATCTACTTCCTCTTCTTTGAACTCTCAATCTTCTCTATCTACTTGCTCCAAAAATTCCTTCACAAAGCAACAATCACTCACACACTCAAAAAGTGGGCTAGGGTTTGGTAGGAGATGCTCTAAGAGTAATGTAGGCGAGGTTAGGGCGTATAAGTGTGTTTCAATAGGGTGCAAACCCTTAAATTAGGGCTTAACCCAGACAGACGGACTCGCCGAGTCCAACGTATGGACTCGCCTAGTTGTCTGCTTAACTCGCGTGATCAACCTGTCTTCTACTCGAAGAGTCAGGCTACAGAATCGTTGAGTACCCGTCAATAAAGAAAAACTTTAATTAAATCACATACCAGAAACGGAGTGTTACAACTCTCCCCCACTTATATTAGACTTCGTCCTTGAAGTCTGCCTGTTGCGGCTGAATCTGAAAATAACTCTGGATAATGCTCCCTTATTTCCCCCTCGGACTCCCACGTGCACTCTGAACCCCTTCGGTGCTGCCACTGCACCTTCACCAACTGAACCACCTTGTTCCTCAAGGTCTTCGTTTTTCGATCTAGGATTGCAACTGGTCTCTCAATATAATTCAAGCTACTATCAACCTAAATGTCCTCCAAAGATACAACTGCCGCCTCGTCCACTAAACACTTTCTCAACTAAGAAACGTGGAAAGTGTTGTGGATCTGGCTAAGCTCTGCCGGAAGATCCAACTGATAAGCCACCTGACCCACCCAGGCCATAACCCTAAAAGGACCAATGAACCTAGGGCCTAGATTGCCCCTCTTCCGAAACCTAATAACACCCTTCCTGGGTGATACCTTCAGGAGGACCATATCACCCACCTAAAACGCTAGGTCCGAACGCCTCCTGTCGGCGTAACTCTTCTGCCTACTCTATGCAGTCTGTAGTCTGCTACGAACCTGCTGAATTAGTTATGTGGTGTTGAGCACCACCTCGGTGCTCCCGATGATTCACTGACCAACCTCGCCCCAACAAATCGGGGCCATGCACTTCCTTCCGTATAACATCTCAAAAGGAGGACAGTCAATGCTAGAGTGGTAACTGTTGTTATACGAAAATTACGCTAGTGGAAGATACGTATCCCAACTACCACCGAAGTCTAAAACATATGCCCAAAGCATGTCCTCGAGAGTCTGAATCGTCCTCTCGCTCTGCCCATCCGTCTGAGGGTGGAAAGCGGTGCTAAAATGAAGACGAGTTCCCATATTGTCATGAAACCGCTTCCAAAATCTGGAAGTAAAACAGACGTCTCGGTCTAACACTACCGAAACAGGTACTTTGTGCCGTGCTACTACCTCACACACATAGATGCCGGCTAGCTTCTCAGCCGATATGCTCTCCTGGATCGGTATAAAGTGCGTGCTCTTGGTCAGTCGATCCACTATGACCCAAATCGAATCCACTCCCCGCGCGGTCCTGGGAAGCTTAGTGATAAAATCCATGTTAATGTCCTCCCATTTCCATACGAGAATGTCTAATGGCTGCATCTTGTCGTGGGGTCTCTGGTGCTCTGCCTTGACCTTCTTGCAGGTCAGGCATATCTCCACATACCAGGCGACATCCCGCTTCATGCAGGGCCACCAATAGTCGGGTTGAAGATCAATGTACATCTTCGTCACCCCAAACTCTCCCATGAAGGGTCCACAATCCGCGACTGTCATAATCAAAAGAAGCTACTCGGCCCACGATCATCTCACACTTCTGTCTCTCCTCATTGAGGCCCTCAACCCGTGCCTCCTTGATTCGCTTCAACAGCAGAGTAATCACTGTCATCCTGAAGCATATATCCCTGATCGGGGCCACTGTCGTCTTGTGGCTCAAGGCATCGGCCACTACATTGGCCTTCCCCGGGTGATAAAGGATCTCACAATTGTAATCCTTCACCACATCTAACCACCGACGCTACCTCATGTTAAGGTTCGGCTGGTCCATGAGGTATCTCAGACTCTTATGATCCATGTAGATGGTACAACAGACCCCATAGAGGTAGTGTCTCCAAATCTTGAGGGCGAACACCACTACCCCTAACTCCAAATTGTGCGTCGGATAGTTAGT